AAACCCAATACTATACCCATTTTTTAGCCTTCATACCCAACCCATTAGGGTCGAATCCCCTCGAAGACCCTTACCTGTGGAGAAAATTGTCCTCCTTCAATATTCCCCATTTAAGATTCTCTCTGACAATTTCATTGACAAAATCCAACCAAATGAAAAATTTGTTCAACCATTTAATTGCTGGGCCAACTGAACTTTGCCATCTGGCCTTGGCCTTGACATTGTTAAAGTTATTAGTTTTTCTTATTTCTAAACATGGTGTTGGCAATGGATTACTGCTTTGTTAATAACCCCTATTGTTTATGGAGTGTTCGTTTTTGTTGACCTATTCTTTAGCCAGTAACCACGTTCTTAGAGTCTGTTTGACGTGGGTTGCTTTTGCTTATGTTTTCAAGTTTCTTGTAAGGTTATTTAGTAGCCAACTCAATTGTTTCAATTTTATTAGATAACTTCTCCCAAAACTTGCTTATTCTTCATAAGAGTTACTCTGTTTCCAACATTTGGTATCAGAGAAAGGCTTCACGTGTTGGGCCCAAAGGCCACACGTGCTCCCATGTCACACATATGTGTTGTCCACGTGTTAGGCTTAAGAGTATTTGTCCCACATTGAAAAGTTAAAGGACCAAGCATGGGTTTCTAAGGAATTGGGCTACGTCCCCCCATTGTTAATTATTTTTGGGGTGGAACCTCAACTTCCTATCTGGTATCAGAACCCCTTCACAGGGCTTAATTGAAATTTGAGAAGTCGCAGTCTTCCAAGCGTGTAGCAGTTACAAAAAAACCAAAAAACATAACTATATGCGACAATGTAGTCTCATAATATAAGATGAGGAAATTTGGCCCTGACCCTATCCCTGTTCACCCCTCCATTCTTACCCAACATTCACCCATCCTTACTCACCTCTTTTCTAGCTGCCCAATCATAACCAATTCTTACCAAAGGGTTGAAACTTTGAATTTTGAATTTACCCAAACTGTTATTTTGTTAGGGGCATACAAGCCATCTTGTAATCACGATTCACTTACAAATATGATTTCATCCTTTAAGATGCAAGGATCTGGTGGGTCTTCCAATAAGAGCACTTCCACTGTTGCAGTTTGGCCCGGGCAGGAGGGGGCCCAAGCCCCATGTCGCACTTCCAGCGGGTTTTAGCATCCCAGGCAGGAGGTGGGTCCTAGTAAACTGGGCAACCCGAGCTCGTGCTCAGGGACTGCTGACTTTAGCGATGACGTTAGCAATGAAATTTTTTAAAAAAAATTCTAAAAAAATAAATAAATACCTAATCATATTCTTCACTTCCCATACCAAAACTATATACAAATTCCTCTACTCATATCTCATGTGAATAGTGGTTGCATTGGGTTGCCATGACAATAGACAACAAGCCTTTTGCAAGGGCTGCCACTATTCACATGAATAGTAACAGCCCTTGCCTTGCCCTTACCTTTTGTCATGGAAAATGAGTGGAAGTGATCTAAGGAAGAAAGGGAGATGGGTGGAGGAAATTGTGTGGAGGGTTGGGTGTGTTGAGAATTTTTCTTGGGATGGATGGGGTAGTGGTGCAGAGGGTGGGTGAGAATGGTGTGTTTGAGAATGGGTTGCACTGGTGAGGAGAGGCTAGAGGAGGGTGGGTTCAGGGTGACAATGGTGGGTGTGGGGATTCGTAAGAAGGTGGTTGGGGAGAGAGGGGTTGAGGGAGAAGTTCTGGGAGATAGAGATAAGATTACTTTTTAAAAAGAAAAAAGAAAAAAGAAAAATATCACTTTTTATTATTATCAAGTATTAGATAATATTACTTGATCCTTTATGTTTTCAATTTTTTTCTTTTCTTTTTTGAACTTAAGGCATAAGGGTAAATTTGGAAAAACAAAAGCTATGTTGTCTTATGTATTA